TAGAACAAATCTACAGCACACACCAACTCAATTTTTTCACAAGGTCCTTAAGACAAACTCACTCTAAAAGGTCTGAACATTTCCGACATGTGGGTAGGTGTTCGATCCAAACAGAAGGGACCATCAGGAAATATTAGAAGCCCAGACACAATAGCAAGGCGAGGAATAGTGAACATGAGGGCAGGGTCGTACACGTCCACCATTTCTTGAGTGAGCAAGTTCATGTCAAGCGCTCTGAAAATGGAAATTAACAGCTCTCGTTAGCGTAAACACAGTGGCATTACCCAACGTAAAAGAAGTGGCGGATGCCAGATCACTCACCTCTGTAAAGTCTCAGAAAATAGAACAACTATTAACTGCTGAAACTCATACTCCTGCAGGCTTTTGACAGGCACCATGGCACTGACGTAGCGAAGCTCGAACTTGGCAAACAAGCGGTCGAAGTCTTTGAGCGCCTCCTTGAGCCGGTCGGCGGCGTACAGTTCGCTCTGCAGCGAGGAGACGCCGCGCAAGCTTTGCTCACGCAGCAGGTTCCGCACATACTCCAGCGATTTCGTCAGTGCCTTGGCGAGGGGCCGCATGAGGGACGACTCGGTCTCCCGGTTCATTATGCTTGATCCTGCAGCTAGGCACTGGAACACGGAAAACAAAGTCCAATGAACAAGGAGCGAGAAAACAAAGTGGATGGCAGTGCAGTGGAACAACGACGAGGACCCACCTCCGCGCCGAACCACAGCTGGCCGGCCAGGTTCTCCTGCATGACGTCGTCGGGGAACTTGACGCGGAAGTCCCGGTCGGCGCGCTCGTCCGGGATGACCTGGTCCATGATGCGGCTGCATATCGTCAGCACCTTGTCCTGGCACTGCCGCAGCTGGTTCACCAGCACCGAGCAGCGCTCAGGGTCCTTGCGGCCGTCGAAGCTGTCCAGCTCCGCGGCCACGATGTTGAGCGCCTCGTCGGCGTAGAAGAACTGCGCGAGCAGCGACGTGTCGTCTCTCTGCAACAAGATGAGAAAGACCGTCAGTGGACGAGCCAAGGTGCCGGAGGACGAGGAGGAGAAGAGCCGGGCCCTGCAGGCCGTCCCGGCGGCAGCGCTGCCCTCGGGCTGCCTACCGCCACGGCGCCAGGCCGCGCCAGCCAGGCCGCGCCAGGCCCTCCTCATGCGCTTGGCGCTTGCGCTCCACTCTCACCGTTTACGAGACACGGAGACACGGACCCAAGACCGGGAAAGTCGTCGACGCCCCTGGCTGCCCCTGGGCCGCCATGGCGCCGTGCCTCGCCGCGCCGCGCCGGTGTGGCGTCGTTCCAGCAAGGCAAGCGCGCCACGCCACGCCAGGCCACGCCCATACGGAGCGCCGCGACGGCCCCTCGGCCAGCGACGCCGGGGCCGGGGTGGGCCGGGGACGCCGTCAAAGGGTCGCGACTACTAATTACAATCACCGTGCGTGCACAGCGCACGGCCTGCCTGTGTGGCGGCGGTCTAGACGCGTGGGAAGACACCTGATTGCTCATCACGCGTCTTTGTCCTTGCCTCAAGTCCGCCAGGGACTTCATTAGCCCGCAAAGGCGTCGCCGGCGTCGCCAGGACGGGAAGCAGCCTCGCTCCGAACAGTGTTTTCGTCGCTCCGTCTCTCTCGCACTCGTGGGGCGGCCCGGAGCAGTGCGAGAGAGACAGGGCGGCGCAGTGCTGTTCGGAACGATAGCCTGCAAGCAGGGCGACGCTAGACGCGCCGGGGGGATGACCGCCAGTGCAGGCGCACGGCACCGGGCCGGACAACACGCTTGTTTTTGCCTCGTCGGCAGCGCTAGCCTCGCGCAAGGCAGCCTGGCTAGTGCTGCAGCTGGCGAGAGGCGAGGCGAGGCGCGGTCCGGGTACGGCCTTCGAGACGACGCGGCGACGCGGCGCGGACGTCGCGGACCTTGCCAGCAGCGTAGCGGCAGGCAGTGGACTTCTCCCTCCCTCCGCTCCGCGCCGACTCCGCGGCACCTGCCCAGCTACGCCGCGCCGTCCGCACCGCAGCTGCAGGTGCAGAGGGAGTCGCCAAAAGAAACAAGGCCAAAAAGCGGCGAGGAACAGAACAGTTTCGGAGAGTCGCTCTGGTCCGCGGGGCGGGGCGGAAAGGATGCTTGCCTCATGGCCACGGCTGACGCTGCGCTGCGCCCCGCCGAGCCAAGCGGCACGTCCAATCGCGGGGAAACCGAAAGTGACGCAGGATCTGGGCTGGGTCCAACAGAGCGGCGCGGCCCGCCGGGCGTCGCTGCAGAATGGAATCGGGTCGCCCGGCGCCCTGCAGACGGCGTCGCTCTGTCACTCTCACACTCATGGGGCGGTCCATGGCGGTGCGAGAGAGACAGCGACAACGCAGTGTTCGGAATCGGCCTGTTGCGGCCCTTTGCCCTGAGGCCCTTGCCACACGGCCTGCCCTACGTCGCTTGCCCTGCGGCCTGGCGGGCCTTTCGCCCTTATCAGGACTGCATGCGTGTCGCGAGGCACGACGTCAGTCCACCAGCCTGCCGCCACAGCGGTCGCAGCGCGACGACGGAACAGACAGAAATGGAGCAACCGATTCGCAGTCATCGGCAGTGGCGCGGTCCGATCGCAATGCAACTGCAGCAGCCGGCGCCGGCGGCCCGTGGCGGCCATGGGCCGTGCGCCCTGCGCGCCATGCGCCCCGCCAGCCTCTCTGGCCCCCCGAACGCCGCGCGTTGCCGCGCTGGGGCCCGGCCCGGGGCCCCGGTCAGGCCAACGAGCACGCAGCCAGCCGCCGGGCCGCGTCAGCGGCGGCGAGGCAGCAAGGCGTCAGCGCCAAGGCAAAAGCAGATAAATTTCTCCGCGCCGCGCCGGCCGCGCCGCCGTCGAGGTCATCTTGTCCAAATGGCTGTTCGTTTGGGCTGCTGGGGCCCCTCCGTACCGGACCGGCCTGGTTTCGGCGGAGAGGGTACAGCCCGCAGTTTCACAACGAGAGCGGGCCGGGCGCACTCGCGCGCCGCACTGCGCTGACTGGCGCTGACACGCGCTCACGCGGGCCGGGCGGGCCGAACGGGCGCGCCCTCCCTCTATCACACTGATAGCAAGCGGCGGTTTCGCAAGGGCGGACACGGCGACGCACGGCGATGCACGGCGACGCACAGTGCCGCCATTGGATGCGTCACTCCATCGCGATGCATCGAGCGGCGCGTTGGCCGCGCTTTGCGTGACGCCGAAGGGCTGATACCGAAAGCCTCTCTGTCTCTCTCGCACCCCAGCGGGACGCCGCTAACGCCGCGCGAGTGCGAGAGAGACCAGCCAGCACGCAGCCCTCTGGAGTGCCAACTTGACCAAAACGCCTCCAAATGACGCACGCGGCATTAGCGAGCTGGACACTTTCGCCGCGATGGCCACACCGCGAGCCTCAACGCCGCGCCGTCCTGCACCGCGGGGCGGGGCGGGGCGACGATCAGCTGAGAGTGACGTCACGCCGGCACGCCCCTCTCCCGCGGCGCGGCCCAGTACGCGGAGTGGGGCAAGCAGGGCAGGCTAGCTGACTAGTCCACATGACTCAGAGTGGCCTTAGAGGAAAAGGGGAGCCGCAACGAGCATGGCGAGCAACGCGCCCCGCCATTCAATGGTCGCCGATCAGCCTAAAGTGGCCATCAAAGTGTTGAAAACAAAAATATTTAGACCCTCTCTCCTGCCAAAAAAAAATCTTCGACATTCGTATTTGAACCCGCGTCCCGGGCGGTCGCGTGGCGGGGCGCACGGCGTGACGGACAGGCGTCCCTTTGACGGTGGCGGAAGTCCAGGGCGCTTCCTCCGCGTCGCGCGCCTCGGGCCTCGGGCGCCACGGACACGTCGTGCTTCCGGTTTCCTCATCGGCCCGGCCACGCCGCCTTCGCGACAGTTTCCTCGAGGGGCAGCCCGCAGCCAGTCAAGCGACGCAAATTCGACGGTGGTCGCGGGGCGTCGCGGGTGCACGCCATGTGACCGTCGCCGTCGCCGCCGCCTCGCTGCGCTTCAAGCGCCTTTGCCGGCGGCGTCCTGCCCTACACCGCGGCCGCCGCCGCCTCGGAAATTGGAAAACACGCATTTCGTTGTTACGAGCGGCGCCTGCCTGGACGGGCCCGCGAAAGTGAAGAAGCCCCTCACGCGATGGAAACGAAACGGTACGTCGCGACGCCGAGGCGTGGCTCGGGGCGGGGCGTGGCAGGGCGGCGGCGTCGACCCAGCGCTGCCAAACAGCCCCTACTCACGTACCCAGATACCGAATCGCGTTGGCCATCGCCGATACACTGATAACGCCTCGTCGCCGCGCCGTCCTGGCTGGGCCAAACAGACTGATTCCGCACGCCGCTCCGTCTCTCTCGCCCTCCCCTTCCAGCACGCCCCACGAGTGCGAGCGAGACAGCGCGACGAAACATAAAGCGCGCTGGCCGGAATCAAACTGCTGGCCGCTCCAATCGGCGTGCGGGACAAAGAAGAGCGGTGAGACAGCGACTAAAACGCAGCGAGTGAGTCACGCGCGGCAGCACCGCCAGGCCGCCAGGACTGCCGCCTGCAGCGACAAAGTGGTCGACGTTGCGCCACGCCATGCGAGCCCTGCCCATGTCCGAGCTTCCCAATTAGCCGACGCTTTATTTTCCAGCCGCCTTCGCCGCCTTTCTCGGAATGCCGGCCCTCTCTCTCTCTCTCGCACTCGCACGGAGTCACGCAAGGCCCCGTGAGTGCGAGGGAGAGAGACACATCGCCCTGCTGGCGGACGCAACGCCGCGAGAGCGAGAGCGCTGACCGCGGCGTATCGGGCCGCCTAGGGCCGCCACGCGCACCGCGCCACTACCCAAACACACGCCGCGACCCTCGGACCCGCGCGGCCGGAGGAGCAGACCGAGAAGGCCCTGTCCACGCTGGCGAGGCTGAAGCCAGCTCTGGAGCAAGCTGGATCTGCAGGGACGCGAACAACGCATGCCGCAGCCACAGGCGGTATCGATCCCAAGTGTCGTCCCGACGCTCTCTGTCGCACTCACACGGCGTCGCGTGAGGGTGCGAGAGAGACGGCGGCCTGTGGCGGGGAAGTCCCGCCACACTGTACCGCTGACCATTGATTTTACGTGGCAATCCGCGAGGAAAGGCAGTGCAGCGCCATTTGCATACAACTGTGTTTGGGGGCGGCGGGGCGGCCAATCCATTCCCGCGAACCCATCGCTTTTCACGACCGCTTCAAGGCCTTCAGGGCCTTCAGGGCCTTCGGGGCGCCGGCCCGGCCAGCCGCATGCAGCATTCAGGGCCGGGCCCACACTGGCCGACCTGGCCGACCGGCGCGGCAGGTGAACGGGGGCTCCGCTTCGCACGCCCTTCGCCCTTACGAGAGCGAGAGAGAGGGCAGACAGGTCGCGAGGGTCAGCGTGACGGCAAGGATTTCGGGCGGTGCACCCTCGCGAGGGCGGCGCCGACCCAAAAAAAACAGAGTCAGACAAATGTGGGACAGAAGCGGAGGCACACAGAGAAGCGGCGCGCAACGCCACAGACAAAAGGTGCGGCTATCTGTGTGAGTGTGTGTGTGTGTGTGGGGCCGGCGCACTGACCTAGCTGCCCGGCCCGGGCGGCGCACGGTCATAGCACCTAATTACAGCCACCTTATCGGCCCCAGTCACACACACAGACACACAGACGCGCGCCTCGCGGGGCTTACAGCGCCCACGGCGCGCACCGAGCAACAGCTGCTGCCTCCGCCGCGGGGAGCACGCAAAAATACTCCCGCGTGGGGCGCGGTGCGGCGCGAGGCGGCGCCGAGGGCTCGTTCAGCCTCATTGGAGGAGAAGAGAAGGAGGCGGAAATTTCCGCAACCAACCGGCAACGCCGCCGAGCCAAAGTGTCGCGCCTCATTCAAAGTGCAGCGGCGTGCAGGTGTGTCTCACGGTGTCTCCAAAGCACTTTATTCGCGCACTCCCCCGCAGCGACCCCCCTCCCCCCTCTCGCCGCGAAGCTTGACCCGCGGCGACGCAGACGCTCCTCGTGCCAACAAGCAAAGTGCGTCTAAACAGCGTCGCGTCGACGGCCGCGTGCTGCAGGACCCCACCCCGCCCCGCCCCGCCCAGCCACGCAGACCAGTCAACCCCAATGTGTCGTCTGGGCCGTGGGCCGCGACGCTACGCGACGCCGGCCGGGTCAAGACGCTCGAGACGGCCGGGAAGGCCGGTGGAAGACACCGCCACCGACGGCCGGCCGGCGGGGCTGACGGCGCTGACGGCGAGGCTGACCTTTGCCGCGCGCCGCATAAAGCACGGACCGACTGCCGCGGAGCCGCGGACTGGCCGCCGCCATGCCATGCCGCCACGCCCGAGGAGCCCGACGACCACACGGCAGTCCTAACAACACGACCGCCTCATGAAATGCCAATTAGCACAGCCAAGGCGTGCGCCGAAACATGGGGGGCCTGCTGGGCCTTGGTGACCACAGGGGTCTTGGAGGAGGCGTCGCGGCCGTGCGGCCGTCCGGCCCGGACGCTCCATGCCGGCCGGCCGGCCAGGTCCTTTCGGTTCCTCCTGGGCCGCCTGACGACGGGCAGGACGGGCAGGACAGGCCGACGCGTCACGTCGGACGCGTTGCCGAGTTGCGTCGCAAAACAGCAAGGCGGCAAGGCGCGGCCGGCGGGCGTCCCCGTGTCCCCGGCCTGTCCTCTCCGGCGGCCGGCGGCCCCCCGCCCAAACCTGCTCGTCCAGGCCGCGTGGGAGGCGGGGCGGAGCGGGCGGGGAGGTGAAACTTTATTTCGGCGACAACAACAACAACAAGGTGCACGGCCGCAGATCAGCAGCCCAATGGTCCGGCGCGGAAAACAAATCCACGGGCCACTGCCGCCACTGCGCCACGCAACGCAGGATGAGGACTCGGCACGCGGCGGGGCGCGAACGCGCGAACGCGCGACTGTACGGGACGCACGGATCGCAGGTCTCGCAGGTGCGATAGGATCATTTCCGCACCGTCAGCCGCAGCCAGCCGCAGCCGGCCACCGGGAAGACGCGGCAAGGACGGGCCGAGGAAGAGTACTCTACGTACGGAGCACGGGCCGCTGCAGCCTGCAGCCACTCCAGCCTGGAGCCGCTGGAGCCTAGTGCCCCGCCAGCGCCGCCCGCAACGGTGCATCCAAGAATGCAGGCGGGGCGGGGCGGGGCTCGCTAGGCCGGGGGGTCGCAAAGGGGCGGGGCGGGGCGGGGCGGGGCGTGCTCGCGAGGCGTTCGTGGCAGGCATGTCGGGCATGCAAACCCAAACCCACACGGCGACAGCAGCGAGGCAGCGAGATAGCGAGATGCAGGCACGGCGATACGGCGAGGCGACGCCAAACAGCACGACCGGAGCGGTACGGCCGTACCGCCGCCTCGTCACGTGTCACGCCTCGCGGCCGTCACGCCGTCACGTCGCCGGGCCGTCACTGTGGCACCACGAGGACCGCATGCGAGTACCACCGACGCCGCCCGGCGCTCGGCTCCGGGTTCAAATCCCGACCCCGTCGTCTTCTTATTCTTGATCTATTATTTACTCGCGATCCATTCACGGGCCGGGCCGGGCCTTTAGCCGGGCCATGCAAGGGCATTGGGTCGGAGCGCAGTGCTGTAACAGGGCGCCCCGCTCCGCTCCCTCGTGTTGACCCGCGCAAAGACAAACGACCATCGCAGCAGCATTCCAAACATGTCACCTCGACAAGTCGGGTTCAACTGCCGAACCGAAGAGAACCAAACCGAAGCAAAGCCAGCGGAGCCAGCGAAGCGCTGTTGCCCGATTTGCAATAGAGTCAACAACAGAGAGAACATGGGACTCGCCTGTATGCCCCCAGCATGAGCTGAGTCGCTGACCGCCCAGCCCTCTGCCCCGCCCCCGCCCCGCCCCGCCCCGCCCCGCCCTCGGCCCCACCTCCGGCCCCCGGCCCCACCCCGTCCACCCAGGGCCCCAATGGGGATACAACAGGGACCATTCTCTGGCACGGAAAAAGACCGTGTCATAAAAATCAACATGCTGCCCAAAGAAATTCATAAAAGGAACCACTGGTGAAATCAAACATCTATCGGCAAGAGTTTAAACATGGACGAAAGTAATATACAGAAAGCTGATTTGTGAACAATTAGAGTAAATCTATTTTATCATTTAAAACTTACACAAAACAAAAATATTAAAAAAAAAAAACAATACACTTTGATAAAAGTCTCATCAAGACTCCAGGACGGTTACGCGAGAGCACGTAGGCATGATCAGAGTCAAGTATGTACACGGAGTTAATAAATGTCCTTGGTCATTTACAAGAGTGCTATATCAGAGGTATTAAAAAATTAGAGGCAATTAAAAAAATCAATAGGGCATCAATAACCTATAAAATTGATGTATGGTAGAAAAAATTCATTCATACACACAAAAATTAAGTTTGGGCAGATTAAGCACAAAAGTACAACACAAATAAAGAATATCAAAGCACAAGAGCACACGTCCAAGAGAAACATCACTAAACAATAATGATGAAATAATTCTCCCTGTACAGTTGCAGAAACCCATCAGCAGAACTTTGCCAATTCTGAAGTAAACAAATACTGATACAAGAATGATAGATGATTGAAGTCACAACAGTAGTATAAAAACAATAAGGGCCATTAAAAATTCAAATATAATAAATACAATGGATCAGAAAAGGAATTTGATATTTGGAAATGCAGAGAGTTCAGGGGCACAGGGGCAACATAACCAGATTAACTATTCATAATCAAAACAATAACAATGGGGCCTTCAATCCACAGCCAAATGGAACTCTGCGTTCAACCAATATTCAACCAATGTCTTTGTAACTAATTTCAATTGTAAAACTCGATTAAGCTGCGGCTGCAGACCACAAGACGAAATAAAGGCAGAGGGATAGATACTAGTTCCCAATGGCAACACTTTCTAGGTCACATCTGGAGGATTCGTCTCCCACAATGCTGGCACTTCTTGCCAAATTTAAAGTAAACAGTCGGGCAAGAACCAAAGTGAAATAGGCAGAGGCGATTCGATTTTATGTAAAACTCGCAAAGGGTTGATCTTTGCGCTGAGAACACTGGGGATGTCCTAGCCTTGTTTGGCCACTTACCTTGGGCTTGTAAAACCATTTTCTCAGTGATTCCATAATTGCACGTCGATCAGTGGGTGCTCGCGGACGAACTCACTACGAACACCAACCGACGTCCTCTTTTGAGCACATTTAGGGCAGAGGGAGCGAAGGAAAGCACCGAGATGAATCATAAACACGTCCGTAAACTACGCGACTTACGAATCATCGCATGGCAGCCATGTTATGAACTCGACTGACTCAAGAACAACAAAAACAAGAAAAGTGAAAGCGTCCACCGCCTTCTGCGGCACCGCGAACGTTCCGCTCGGCTCCGGAGCGCTGCCAACCTCAACAAATGGAGATGTAGTTTCTAGGAAAGATCCGCAATATAATGCTTTCGACTCACTCGCATTATGTTTTTGAAGCGAATATGACGCCTTTGGTTGCATTCTGAGGCCTGGAAGGGGCATTTAGATTCACATTACTTTTCTGAGGGACATTCTCGCCCTGAAACGTGTGTTGGTACTCGTAGTGGCGGCAGGTTTAAATCACGCGTCTCTCCGACATGGACACTTACTGTCCATACCTTTCTAGCCCACTTCAGGTTCGGTTTCAAAATCGAATCCCAGGTGGGTGGTTTAAGACCGTAATGTATTTCCGACGCCTCTGCGTGTAGCAACAAGCAAATGCCTACCGCCGCTCGGCAGAGGTGAATTTAAATTTTGGACCTATGGAACAGTACTTTTGGAAGCAGTTGGCCTTCTTGGCGTGATTGGCACTCCAGCTGCCTTTTCCGTGTGTTGTTGCGTGGAACGGCCCGCGCCATTCGGCACTTCCCTCCGAACAATGTCTCTCTTGCACTCATGGGGCGTTGCGCCGCGTTGCGCTGTCTGCTGCGGTGCGACGGAGACAGGGCGACGAGAGCACTCTTCGGGATCAGCGCGCCGGAATCGCAACCCTTTCAACCAAGGCGTTTCACCTTCACCCACTCGTATGCAAATGGGGGCCCGCTCTCCAGTGCACCCCCGCGGCCCCGCGGCCAGGGAGACTATAAGAGAGGTGGCCGACCCCAGGCAGGCCACTTGGACTCAAGACAGCCGACGGGGAGCACGCGGCTTCCTCCAGAGTTCACCCGCAGTCCAGGCTCTACGCAGGTGATGTCCTCAGCACCCCTAGTCCAAGTTCTCGAGCCATTTCTAACGCTCGAGTCCTACAGCCCCTTTCCCCCGGCAGCCCGAGCGCGGTGCCGTCGAAGGGGTTGCCTACCCGCCCGGCGCGCTACTGACTCTCCGTGTCCGTGTAGCGCAGGCATGGCTGGCTGGTGCTCGTCGCTGCTCGTGGTCGCGCTGGCCGTCCTGCTGGTGGCGGACTGCACCCTGGCGCAGACCTTCAGCTACTCGCGGGGCTGGAAGAGCGGCAAGCGGACGTCGTCGGCGGCCGGCGTGGCCGTGCCCAGTGGGACGACGGCGGGTGGCAGGGGCGCCGACGACGTCCTGGCCGAGGACCTCCCCCTCTACAGATACTTCCTGGAGGGCCGCGGAGAGCACCGGGTAAGTCCCACCTAAGCTTGGCCGATGTGAACCCCCAACAATTGAATGCGGTCTCGCTCCTCACAGGCCCCGTACGACCCCTGGCGCTTGGTGGACGAGCCCCTGCTACACATGGGCCGCCGCCCCGCCCTGCAGGCCCTGCAAGCCCTGCAGCAGACCAGCGAGCAGGCCGCCGAGCACGAGGACCGCTAGCGGGACGGCCGCCCTCTCCGTGAGCGCCCTCACGCTGGAGGAAGCTTCTTGCTCGCGCCTCAACCTGAAGATGGAGAGCAGGGGGCACCACCTGCTCCGGGTCTGATTTCGCTCCGAGTTGCCGCTCCGTTGCGAGCTCCGTGTGCTGTGTTCCGTGTACTGTAAATAATCCTTTTTCTTTGAATAAATACTAGAAGTTTGAGTGTCGTCGTTGCCTGTCAATGATCAGTGTCGTCCTCCTGGAATAAACCATCCTCTGATGGCTCACTTACAATCCGGAGTTTCTTGATTACACCGCCAACACACGGTGCGGTGCTTGGCGCATAACCACGAATCAACGACTCTCAACTCTCGCAACTTGAATGAACGTGCGAACAAGTTGACCAAGTTGACCCCCTCACCTCTCTGCGAGCGCTGCCCCCGCCGGCCACAAGGGGGGACGAGGAGAGGAGACCTGCCGGGGGCAGAGCCGGGGGTTGTCAAAGGACAGTGCGGGTGCCGCCGCTAGAGAGCCGGCGCGGACAAGAGAGCAAATTGGCCGGCCCCGTTGCTGCTTGGCTGCTTGGCTGCGTTGCCGTGGGCCGGTATAAAAGGGGCTGCCGGCCGGGGTTGGGCCAGTTAGAAACACGATCGGGGACCGGGAGGAGCTGCCTTGCTGCCTGCCTCTCAGAGTCGACGTCCTGTCCCGTCCGTCCCCGACACAAGTTTGGTGAGTGCTCGGGGATGGGATGGGGTGCACGACGTCCAGGGGGACGACGTCAGCGGGCGCGGAGCTCGCCGCCGCCGCCGCCCAGGGCCCAGCACGCGCAGCGATACCCCGCGCGCACGCCGACTTCTAGTGCTCTCCGCGGCCACCGGAGAGCGCTGGGTGCACCGCCTGCTGAGCGGCGGAGGAGGCTCAGACCAACTGCGACTTCCCTCCTGGGGCCTCAACCTCAAGGCTTCCGTAGCTCTGTCTCTCTCGTTCTGTACTACCCATACGGGCTGGAGGAATGTGAACGATTGACGAAATTCGCGAACCAGGATCGAGAATTCCGGATGTTTGAATATCGCCTGGTGCCGTTCGTGTATTTGTGTGTGTGCGCGCGCGCGTTTGTGTGTGTAGCAGAGTAGAAAGGGAGGGAGGGGAGGCACCGCGGGAATGAGATTACCGCGGCCCATCCCGGTGCACCACGCCAAGGGCCCGGTGCTTGAGGCCAGCCAGAAGCGGGAGGGAGGCCGTTTTTCGCGCCCCGCCGCCCCGCTGCTTATCTGGGGCCGCCGATCGCGCCCCCGCCCCCCGCGCGCCACGCCCGTGCGGCACGGCACGCATTGTGTGTCGAAACAATGCTGCGCGCTGCGCGTTGCGCCCGAGCGTCCGAATCCACTGAGCTTTGAGGTTTGCGCGGCAGGCGGTGCAGGCAGTGCAGGCGGCAGGGAGGGAGGGCAGTGCCGCGTACACTGTATAATGGCGGGGCGAAGCGCGAAGCGGGCAAAACGCGGCCACCTTGTTTCTCACCGCGCGTTTTTGCGTGTGTTTGCGAGTGTGCGTGTGAGTGAGAGTGCGAGAGTGTGTGTGTGTACACTGCATGCTCCGCCCTCCACATCGCGCGGCCGTCTCGCTTCGCAGTGCTTCGCAGGGCTTTGAAGGGCCGAGGGAAAGGGGGGGGGGGGGAAATGGCACGTCGGATTCCCGTCCGAGGCTCTAATCTGGCCGCGAGCTTTCCTCGCGGTGGCCGGGCAGGGCGCGCAGGGCGTGCAGGACGGAGGGCGTGCCCGCGGAAGGGCGCTGGCCGGCGCTGGCCGCTTCGACTCCCGGCTCCTCGTTGCTCGTCACGTCGGTTTACAGCCGAGTCTAAACCTGCCAACGACCGGCCGCCGATCCCTGCCGATCCCCTGGGGAGCAGTTGTCGACCGGACCGGACCGGACCAGACCGCCGGATCGGAGCGGACCGTGGCCCGGACCCCTCGTCTTGACCACCCCGCCGACGACGCGCCGACGCGCCGACGCGCCGACGCGCCGACCACCGGGTAGTGGCCGAGAAGGCCATTCGTAGGCCATTCGGCGGCCGCCCCCCGCCACCAGGACCAGCATCAACCTTTTTACGAGCGACCCAATTCATCCCCTTCGAACGGCCGGCCGGCCGGCCCGGCTAACTCGATTGCGACAAATCTATTCACTGCGAGGCCCGGCTAGGCGAAGTGCACCCCGGAGCCGTGCCGCGAGGGCCGCGTGCCCATCCCCAAGCCGATGGACTGCTGGAAGCGCTGGAAGCTGGAGCGGCCGGAGTCGTACGCAGAGCAACCCATCAGGGCGGAGTAATGTTGCAACGGCGTGCCTGCTTGCCTGTCTGCCCCAGGATGGCCCAGCCCCACTGGGCCCTCGCGCTGCTGGCCGCGTCCCTGGCTGGCCTGCTGCTGGCCGACGCCGCCCTGGGACAGACGTTCACGTACTCGCGGGGCTGGAAGCCGGGCGGCAAGCGCTCCCGGGTGGCGTCCCTGGCGCCGCCGCCGCCATTGCCGCCGCGGTTCAGGGCCCTGGGCGCCGCGCTGCCCCCCTCGGGCGCCTTCCTGGACGACGCCGCGGGCCTCCCGGACGACCAGGCCCCGGTCAGGTTCGTCGTGGAGGGGCTGTCTGAACGATGGGTGAGCCATTCCGCGCCACAATCGCCGTTGAAGCGAAACAAAATGTGTGTTCTAAACTGAGCCGTGCGCGGCTGCTGGCGTTGCAGGCGCCGTACGAAGGGCCGTCGTGGCGGCCCCAGCCCCAGGACCACGGCCAGGACAAGCGGCACGACGCCGACCGGGACTCGGAGCTCTACCGCCACGGCGAGTTGTCAACCCAAGGCGACCACGACGACCACTAGAAGGACTCGTAGCCCCGGCGGCGACCGCGCACAGTTCGCTACCGTGAACGCATCCTCGACGACCACCAAGACGATGTCCATCACCACCAGCTCCACGCGCCGGCCGCGCGGGCGGCACGTCGCGTCGCACTCGCTCGTCGACTCAGCAGAGTGGCGCATGATTTATCCCATTCATGTAATTTTAGATACGAATAAATTGGCTGAAAGTTGCGAGTGTTGTGCTGGGTGGGGAGATTGGGAGGGGGGGGGGGACACCGGGGCATCGCTCGCTCAGGCGGGGCGCGCGGAGCATCGCGACGTGACAAACGACGGCCCGCGAATCACACCCACACTCTCTTACACACATCCGCACGGATGCCGGTTCATAAGGAAGCAAATCGCTGAAGGAAAGCAAGAATTGGTACAAGGACGCAAACAGTGGCAGCAACCCGCACCGCAGCACCCACCAAACTGACACGGACCCCGGCCCGCCCCCGCGGTTGCCAACGTTTCCGACAACACCATATTTCCTTCAAGATGGAGGGCCCTTCCCGGGGAATTACGTCGGAAATAACGGAAAGTCTCCTCAAGAGCTTCACTCCCTTCTTGCGCCCCGGCGTGCCCGGCCCGCCCCCGCGCGCTCCCCCGGTACACCACCACCACCATGGCGGCAGAGCCAGGCGGAGCAGCACCGCTTCGAGGCGCAATTTATTAAGCCGTTAATCTATTGTCTCTCGCCTTGACGCCTCGCCGTGCCGCGCATCACGGCCACGTCCAACTTGGTAGTCAAGTTGGTAGTCGACTTGGTGGGCGCGCCGCGGCGGATTTAATGCAATCAGCCCCGAGCTAATTCCGTGATGGTTATGGAGTGCGCGTCAGGACTGCCGACGCTGCCAACGCGCCGCCGCCAAATTACCCCCGCCCGGCACAACAAAGGGGCGGGAAAGGGAAAAAAGGCGGAAAGCGGATGTACGAAAGGGAAGAGGGGGCAAGAGGAAAGGTGAAAAGGGGAAAAGGGAAAAGAGGTGGAAAGGAAAACCAGGGGGAAAGGGAAAAAACGCGCTCGCAATCAGTAATAAAGAGTAATAATAAAAAGACGTCGATGCGCGGAGTGGCGCGGACGAAGCGGGGCCGTGCCCTGCGAAACGGAAATTGGGGAAATGCAAATGATGGCGGCCTTTACGAGCATGCTCTTGATTATCTTGCCGCTCCCGAAATGATAGCAGTGCCGCGGGTTGGTTATGAATTCAGAATGCTTTTCGGACGCGTTTTTCCGCGGAGCGGAACACACAGAAAATGAAGCTGCACGGTTCGTGATTTGGGAAAGCTTGGCAGTAACGCAATTACCGCCACCTGGCTCATACACCTGTCACCCCCCACCCCGCCGTGCCGCCGTGCCCCGCCGGGACAGCCGTTTGCGATGAAAATGCCTCGCAATGATTAACTCCCGAGCGCCCGCTAAATTGCGAAACAAAAATGTGTATCTGTTGGGCGGGCGCCGCGGGCGGGAGGCGGGCGGATATCTCTTTTCATCCGCTGTGATCCGCCCCACGCCTCCCCGCCCCGCTCCCGGCCCGCGATAAATAATGCGCCTGCTATTTATGCAGTAAAAGCTAATTCATTTTCGTGCCGCCATTTTTCACGACGGCGTGCTTCGGGGCGGGGCGTCGCACCGCACGGGCACAGGGCGCGGGGTAGAGACGACGCCTGGCTGCGCGCTGCGCCCGGCGCGCCCTCGGGCTCGCCTCGCAGGGCGCCATCTTGCGGCGACGCGGCGAAGCAGCGCCAAGCAGCACCGGCCGGGCGGGACTACGACGAGTCGTCCGGACGACAGCGCCGGACGCTCCCGCACCTCGCACTGAGTACTTTTAGCGTTTTGCAGTACATAGTAGGCTCTGTTCAACACGCTCCGCGGAAAGAGAAACAGCAGCCTGTTTCTTCATAAGGGGGATAGGTAGCTTATGTGTGTGTGTTGCATCTGGTAACTGGAGGTGTACTAAGAAATAAAAACATTAAAACTTAAATTTTGAAATTTTGAAATTTTTTGAAATCCACGTGGCGTCATCTGGCTTTATCTTGTCGCACACCAATACACATCAATCACACCACCTTTCCAAGTTTTGTCGAAACAGTTTCGGTCTGTACTTTTTTTTTCGTGCAGGAAACGTAAACTTTGGCCTTTATTAAATTTGCCGCACGCTTTTGCCTCTCCCGCTGAAAAGTTTTCCCCGCGGCGGCGCGCTGTGGCGGGTCAATTTGAATTGCAGTTTGAATTGGCTGGGATTGGCGCGCTCGGACTCGGCCCCGGTTCGCGGGGCGAACTTACTTTGCGCGCCCGTCACGGCCGAGGGAGCGGAACAACGGAACAACGGAACGGCGCGAATTTTTCAGCTGTCACGATCCTCCGCGCGCGTGGCGCGCAGCCCTGCGCGAGCAGCCCTCCGCGAAGCCCTCCTCGAACAGCCCTCCGCGAACAGCCCTCCGCGAACAGCCCCCGCTAACAGCCCCCGCTAACAGCCCCCCCGCGAACAGCCGATGCAGGCCAACAAAGCGCGCGCTCAGACGAACCGCAAACACCGTGAAAATTACACCGAAGCGGGGAGTGGGGGGCTGGGGAAGGGGGGAGGGGAAACGGAACGGAAGCGGCCGGAAGGGGGCAGACCACTCCGCCGCTTAGTCCAGGAAACGAAGGTTTTGACCCGGAACTAAATTTTGTAAAGCTGGACTCTGTTGAACATGGTGCAGTTTGATGTGCTGAATCGGATTCCGAGGAGTCCACCTTTCCAAACCCTGTGCGTTAACCGGAAATTGAACAAAAGGGCCTAAATGCAAGGGTTTGCGGTATCCGCTCTAGCGCCGAAACTAAAATTCCGATTTTGGCCGGACTTGCGTCAAAATGTGCAGCAAATAACAAGGAACAAATCCACTCCAAAGGATAAGTCGCGCAATGCAAATTTCTAGTCATAAATTTGATTTTAGTAAAATATTTCCGATTTCGCTACACCGTTTTCAAATGTATCACTTCATATCTTTTTAATGAGGGAATGGAAAGGAAAATGGTCCGAGAGAACGTTATGCGCCAACTCTTCAGCTGCACGTAGGTGTCCTTGGTTTTCCGATCCACCTCTCCGTTTTTATTCTAACAGCCTTGAACTGAAGTGATGCAGATGTCCTCCGCTGCGCGCCGCAGCCGGGGTGCGCGCGGCCCCGCTGCTCCCCCCACCACTCTCGGCCTCGGCCGCGTCTGGAGGCAGGGTGTTGTCTCTCTCGCTCCCTTTGTAAACGCATTAGTGCGGGAACGGTGGTGCATGCCTGCTCTTTCGGAGCCCGGTGGAGCGGCTGGCTCCAATGTTTACAACGCGCGATTCCTACTTCGTAGTTTTAGTAACGAAAACAAATTTTATTGAAGGAGTGGTTTGTTGAACTTGGAAGAACGCGACGCGCTCTACAACCTGGTTTAACTTCCACAGTTCTCGGAGGGTTTCTTCCCCTTATTTTGAACGAAAGGGCCTAAGCACGTTCAAAGCCCTAGACAGAAAACGGTTGCACCTAGAAATACCGGACCCAAGGCAAAATGACCGAAATATGACGAGGAATCGTTTGAGCATCCACCGATATCGTTTCTTAGAATAATGTGGCAGTTAGCTTGATTTAATTATTTTCTTTCATCGTTTTCTTCCCAATTATTACCGCGTTATTGCTCATAAATGAAGCTGAAATCGCAGAACGGGTCACGAGGGACCATCAAGCGCTTGCTTCTCAGCTGCACGTACATGTTTTCAGAATGTTGCTAAGTGCAACGGTAGCCGAGTAACTTGAGTCGAAAGACAACGGCGCGGCCAAGCGCCGCCGCGCAGAGCTGAGTGGAGCGGCGGTCGCGCGGCAGACAGACGAACCCTTGCAGCGTCACAACGGCGCGGAAATCGGAAAATTGGTCCCGAGGGAACGTCAAGCACTGGTCTTTAACCTACACGAACGTGTTTTTGGATTTGAGCTACGTCGAACGGTTGTGCTTAAAACTCAATTTAAAGGTGGGCGGCGCAGCGGAGCAGCGCGGCGCGCGGAATGCAGTCACGCGGTGTTGTGGGATCCGGCCTTCCAGAGGTTTCCACGGTAACCGTTCGTCGTAGCTACAATCCAAAAACACGTTCGTGTAGGTTAAAGACCAGTGCTTGACGTTCCCTCGGGACCAATTTTCCGATTTCCGCGCCGTTGTGACGCTGCAAGGGTTCGTCTGTCTGCCGCGCGACCGCCGCTCCGCTCGGCTCCGCGCGGCGGCGCTCGGCCGCGCCGTTGTCTTTCGACTCAAGTTACTCGGCTACCGTTGCACTTAGCAACATTCTGAAAACATGTACGTGCAGCTGAGAAGCAAGCGCTTGATGGTCCCTCGTGACCCGTTCTGCGATTTCAGCTTCATTTATGAGCAATAACGCGGTAATAATTGGGAAGAAAACGATGAAAGAAAATAATTAAATCAAGCTAACTGCCACATTATTCTAAGAAACGATATCGGTGGATGCTCAAACGATTCCTCGTCATATTTCGGTCATTTTGCCTTGGGTCCGGTATTTCTAGGTGCAACCGTTTTCTGTCTAGGGCTTTGAACGTGCTTAGGCCCTTTCGTTCAAAATAAGGGGAAGAAACCCTCCGAGAACTGTGGAAGTTAAACCAGGTTGTAGAGCGCGTCGCGTTCTTCCAAGTTCAACAAACCACTCCTTCAATAAAATTTGTTTTCGTTACTAAAACTACGAAGTAGGAATCGCGCGTTGTAAACATTGGAGCCAGCCGCTCCACCGGGCTCCGAAAGAGCAGGCATGCACCACCGTTCCCGCACTAATGCGTTTACAAAGGGAGCGAGAGAGACAACACCCTGCCTCCAGACGCGGCCGAGGCCGAGAGTGGTGGGGGGAGCAGCGGGGCCGCGCGCACCCCGGCTGCGGCGCGCAGCGGAGGACATCTGCATCACTTCAGTTCAAGGCTGTTAGAATAAAAACGGAGAGGTGGATCGGAAAACCAAGGACACCTACGTGCAGCTGAAGAGTTGGCGCATAACGTTCTCTCGGACCATTTTCCTTTCCATTCCCTCATTAAAAAGATATGAAGTGATACATTTGAAAACGGTGTAGCGAAATCGGAAATATTTTACTAAAATCAAATTTATGACTAGAAATTTGCATTGCGCGACTTATCCTTTGGAGTGGATTTGTTCCTTGTTATTTGCTGCACATTT